TGTGATTCGTCTTGTCTCACACTTTTCACACACACACACACACACACACACACACACACACACACACACATACACACACACACAATACACACACTTTCCGACTTTCTTCCTTTTGTATCTGCTCATCAAATTTGACCACTGAAAATTAGATTATAACCACTGATTCATTTAACGTTCATTGGGGCTCCCGCTGATTAATTAACTGGTCATTATGGTAGCCTAATCCCACTCTCCTTCGCTGGTCCAATTCATTTTGTTACTTTAAAATTATCTCCTTAATTGATTGAAAACCAAAACACAAGTAAAACAAACTAGTATTGTGAAAACATGGGTCGGCGTGGCCTAGCGGTAGAGCGCTAGACTGCTAACCCGAAAATCACGATTTCAAGTCACTACAACGTCCTTGAGTACACCCAGCTCTGATGGGTACTTAACTCAAGTTAGGGAAAGTAAAGTCGGCTGGGCATAGTGCTGAACACACTATCCCTTCATAAACCGATGTCAAAGTGTTAGAAACAGATGAGCTTTACTTCAATTGCCGATGTGGACCGTCGGTTTCGAAAAGTGAACTTTTTATTATAAAAACATGAATCTATCATTGACAAAACAACGAGATTGATGCTGCCATCAAATTAAACATCACATGTTTATGTATTGTTATTCTAAACAAAGCCTTGGCTGAAATATCAGTTAAGTCAGTTTTGTTTTGATTCTTGGAGTTTTCCAAGCTATACTTTTTAATGTTTTCTACCAGACGATACAGCGAACAGTCACGTGAGACCATAAGCAAGAACCCAATGCCCAGACAACATAATATAATTTAAGTGAAAAAAAAGTTTCAAATTTTAAAAAAAACAAAAGGCAAAAATCAAAGGTAATAAAAATGTTCGAAACAGACAACTTTTCGATTACTTTTTTTTTTAATTGTAATCCCTGGCATTCATGTCATTATTTGGGTAAACATTGAACTACAAATTTGGACTAGACACTGAATGGTGAATACCTGCATGTTCGTGCTACAGAGTAACAGACCAGAGTGTCTTCTGGTAAATGTTTTGGTTTGTAACATTTGAAACAGCTTAGAATAAACGCTTTTTGAGGAATGGGCCTATTTTAATAAACTTAATCAGCGATTCAAGTGTTATTTCATTTTTATTTTCCGTAATTAGTTTTACGTTGAGTTGCAAAAGAAAAAAAATTCTTAGGGTCCTAAGGGTTTGTTGTTGTTTGTTTGTTTTTTAATGGATTGATTGGCAGAAATTATTAATAACATCAAATACATCGAATTTGTCCAAAATCGAGAAAAAAATTTAACAATCCATTTTTTGGTAATCTTTTTGTAAGTGGTTTGATTGAATTGATTGTCTTATTTCTTTTTATAAAGTTGGTCTAGTAACATCATTATTATTAGAAATAATAAACAGCTGTTTATGTTTAATAGAGATCAAATCTTCTGTTTTTGTTTTATTATGTTGGTGTTAACAGCGACATGAATATGATATAATGAAAAGACGTGAATTTTTTGCGCTAAGGGAGTTAACTGAAATATGAAATGAAAAAACTTAATTAGTCATTTTTATGTTCCCCTCATTTATTAATGTTTTTTTTTTTTTTTCTATTTATATTTTTTAAAACTTGTGTTTCTAGAAAATAAACTAGTTATATCAAAAACACACGAAGTCTCTTTCTTCGTTTTGGGACTAGTCGGATCATTTCTTGATCAGGTCCTGTAAAATTAACAAGAATAGGACCCAGCAGGAAATGATACATTTATTTATAGTTTTTGAACGTCAGATTCTTATGGCGGAGGGGCAGCGGCGTGTGTGTGTGGGGGGGGGGGGGAGGGGGGGGGGAGGGGGGGAGGGAGGGGAGGGGGGGGGGGGGCAAATGATTCGGACCGCACCTGGTGACACGAATGGGGAGGATGATGTGATAGCAAAACCATAAATTGCTAAATATACTGAGAACACGATTTGTCCCGTTTATTTATTAAATAAACCATCTGGAAAGGAGATTGGTGGGCATGACAACTTAAACATCTCTACACACACAGCCATACATACATACATACATACATACATACATACATACATACATACATACATACATACATACATACATACATACATACATACATACATACATACATACATACATACATACATACATACATACATACATACATACATACATACATACATACATACATACATACATACATACATACATACATACATACATACATACATACATACATACATACATACATACATACATACATACATACATACATACATACATACATACATACATACATACATACATACATACATACATACATACATACATACATACATACATACATACATACATACATACATACATACATACATACATACATACATACATACATACATACATACATACATACATACATACATACATACATACATACATACATACATACATACATACATACATACATACATACATACATACATACATACATACATACATACATACATACATACATACATACATACATACATACATACATACATACATACATACATACATACATACATACATACATACATACATACATACATACATACATACATACATACATACATACATACATACATACATACATACATACATACATACATACATACATACATACATACATACATACATACATACATACATACATACATACATACATACATACATACATACATACATACATACATACATACATACATACATACATACATACATACATACATACATACATACATACATACATACATACATACATACATACATACATACATACATACATACATACATACATACATACATACATACATACATACATACATACATACATACATACATACATACATACATACATACATACATACATACATACATACATACATACATACATACATACATACATACATACATACATACATACATACATACATACATACATACATACATACATACATACATACATACATACATACATACATACATACATACATACATACATACATACATACATACATACATACATACATACATACATACATACATACATACATACATACATACATACATACATACATACATACATACATACATACATACATACATACATACATACATACATACATACATACATACATACATACATACATACATACATACATACATACATACATACATACATACATACATACATACATACATACATACATACATACATACATACATACATACATACATACATACATACATACATACATACATACATACACACACACACACACACACATATATATATATATATATATATATATATATATATATATATATATATATATATATATATATATATATAACAAATAACCTGTATTAAGTTGGTTTGATGATTTATTAGTGACCACCTGTAAAGACTTCACACTTCTAGGGGGGAGGGTGCTGGATTTTGTAATGATGTTTGGCGAAGGAGGTCATAGTGTGTGATGACACACTTAAGTATCTATCTATATATATAATTCTCTTCTGGGAGCCGTTAGAAAACAAGCTGCAAGCGCCTCCTTGCAGTCCCCTCTCTTTCTCTCTATCACTATCACTACCACCCCCACCCCACCCCCACATTGTCTGGTGAGCTGTGGTCAAGCTAAATGTTTACAAAGCTAAATGTTTACAAATCGTAGAGCCGTAGAGCCGGGTTTCTATTAGGGGCAGATAATTTAGTTCGATTTTAAACTTACAGGAGGTAACTAAGAAATAACTAAGAGGAGGCTGCTTTCACGGGGGGGGGGGTGTAGGGTCGGGGTTAGGGGAAAGGGGGGGGTAGTGTTTTAAAGCAAATATTTTCAGTGGCAGCATTGGTACTGTCGAATTCACAAATTATGAATTACTGAAAAGTAGAAAATAAAACAACTAAATAGCGGCGTATGATACGATGCGGGTCGGCTCGTTTTTTTTAATTGATATCAGTAACTGGACATAGTATTTCGCGGTTGTTGTTTTTTTTTTAAGAATTCGTTCGTAAATTGTGAAAAAAAAAAGTACCAGTCTTCTCAATGTTGACCAAGCTCAGTAAATAGTTTACATTGAAATTGCAAATTAAAACAAAAAAAAAATTTCATTTTGATGGGATGTGACTTCATTTTAGAGAAGAGAATTGGTATAACGTCACCATCGACCCTTTTTTTACACAGCGTATTGCTCCTGACTTTGACGGCTAAGTAACTGACAGAGTTTCTCTCAGACATCTCTTCGAGGGTGGAGGGGTGAAGTGCCCCTCTCCCGATTCCCAAAGCATATCAACTGCCCAGCACGAAAATATATACGTTTATTCTTCCCCCCTCCCCCCTCTTGGAAGTTTTAGTCCGCCGCCACCTCCAGGAAATTTCAAGAGCACCCCCCCTCCCCCGGAGAAAAATGGCTGAAAGTGATACTGGTAAATGATCATTGCTAAATTTGTTATCGAGATGACAGATTTGAAAATGTAAAATTGCTGGTTAGAGTGGGTAGTGTGGCTTTGTCTCACATTTGGTTAACATCACAAAATTTTCCCCACCCCCTTGGTTTACCAGTATTGCATCAGATTTTTGCTATTTTTTTTGTCCATTAAAAAAAAGCTACTTTGTTTACCTCCCCCCCCCCCACCTCCCACACACTTTTTTTCTGTCCTTATAATCACAGATGTATGATGTCTGTTGTTTTTTTTTTGTTTGTTTTTTTTTTAATTAAGTTCAGTTTTTAATATAACTTTAAAGCATATGACTATATTTTTATCCATAAAATTTGAAATCAGTCTAGATCTTTATCCTTGTCCATCTTATATAGATAGGACTATATCTAATTCTAGATCTAATGTTCTGTACGACAGTGTATGTAGGGGGGGGGGGGGGGCAGTCAAGGTCTAGTGTACGGAGGATGAAATGTCATTACCTACAATTCTGTTTGACGTTTCATCAGACAATATCAAAGATGGCTGCCTCCATCAGAACATGGTTTCATGCAAGTGCGACCTTCAACACCGCTAATTTTCTTCGTATGCGCCTCACGAGCAATTCTTTACGAACAGTACCGGTCTATGTTGCACAAGCTAAAAAATACAAGAGTACATGTAAGTTTAATTTCGTTAGTTGACCTCACATTCGTTGCTTTTTTAACAGACGCAATCAGACGGTCCAGTTCGAGACCAGCGCAGCGAGAGGTCACTACTGACTAGATTCCACTGAGTACTGTCCAGGCATTGTCACTGCGTTTTATATTTTACTAGACACCCGTCCCCCGTGCGTTGCCACGGGGATAGAAGAAAGTTTGACGAAATGGTAAAACCTTAGTTTAGCGTCGGAAATTATCGGGTAATGTTTGTTGAGTTTCGGTAACTAGAGTTACGGTAAACCTTGGTTTATTTGACAATTGAAATATAAATAAATTGAAAGTCAAATGTAGTAAATTAATGTTTTAATTTTTTAAGTTTAATCGACAAAAGGAAACAAGAATAAATATAGATCTTATAGTAGATTTAAATTAGTAGATCTAAAAATAAATAAAAACATATATTAATATAAATAATGAAGTCAAATATAATAATTTAATGTTTTTAGCTTGCAGCGGATTTGCGACCATTAATTAATTAGATCTAGATCTAGCTAGATATCTAGCTGCTAGGCCAAGTTAAAAAAATCTAGATTACGAAAATAGTAAAAATGATTACAAAATGTAAAAATGATTACAAAATGTAAAAATGATTATAAAAATAAATCTATCCAAATTTTAAATATTCTGTATAAAAATAAAAGATGACGCCAAATAAAGTATGGTTTACAGTACTTCCGGTGAATTCCGCCGAATTCCGGAAGTGTGTGACAGACTTTGACATTGTTTTACTGTTTTTTACTGCTATACGATTCCGGAATAATAACCGACGCTAAACTAAGGTTTTACCGACGAAATATATTAGAAGCATTTCACCAACGCATTATCAATCATATGTTCTTAGACCCGTGACCTTCTTTTCTAAAAGTGAGTTATTTAAATGTAAATTCAAGTAAAGTGTAAACAATGCCTGCGCTTGGATCATAAATATCAGGACATGGGTTTACCTACACTACCGCATGAAAACCTTGAGTGTACATTAATCACTCGCCGAAATAATATGGAATAACACACTTCAGTGACCGCCCATGTGTCTGAGACGTAGAGGGGCGCTCTCAGGATCCGAGCCCCCCTCCCCCCGATTACACTACCGCATAGAAACGCCGTACGACCCCTGGCTCCTTAAAACTAATAGGCGCCATTGTGCCAAACAGCATCCTGTTAACAATGATGCAGATTGCGGCATTCACTAAACTAAAGTGACACAAATTAACAGGCTTTGTTATTTAACACGTAAAAAAATTATTTGACGTGTTTTAAACATCATTGTGACTGATGCAATATGTTAGCGTTACTAATGGTCTATTCTTAGATGCTTGATCTCAATTTCTGATTGAATTATCTAAAAATAGATGTTAATCCATGGGGGCCGCCCATGCAAAATTAAAACCCCCCACCCACCCCAGAAACCTTCTCGGGAGTATTCATCAACTCCCTAAAGTTTTATGGCACCGGGATAAATTGTGTCGAACCGCAATCGTCTTATATTTTCATATACCGTATATTGAGAAAAATCCCACCATTCCGTGGCGCCGCCCTTGCGAAATTTTTAAAAAAAAGTTTTTTTTTACAGAAACCTTCCCTGGAGTGTTCAAATCAACTCCCCAAAGTTTGATGGCGATCGGATGAACGCTGTGAAACCGCAATCGACGTTTATTTTTATATACCGTATATAGAGAAAATCGCACCCTCCTGTGGCGCCACCCTTTGCGAAATTAAAAATGATTTTTTACTGAACCTTACCCTTGAGTGTTCTAATCAACATGACGTTATCTCTGACTTCATCTTTCGCTCCTTTGTACCAAGTGTATTGAACAAATATAGCAGACATTATACTGCTTTGTTTTACTCTAATCAGTATTGTTATAAAATTTGCTTGAAAAACTAATTATATAATAGAGTTTTGAAATGACTTTTAAACTTTGTAACAAAACGAAAACATAGATTGTTTTTTTTTTTATTTGATAAGCCTAGGCCTTCTTTAACAGACTATAGATCTAATTATAGTATTTAGATTCTGTTGATTCTAATAGTAATACTGTTACTTTCTCTTCTTTGCTCACCATCAGTCTGGGTTTTCATAATTTAACAATACTTGACTAAGCAATCATTTCTTTTAGTTCTATATTCAAATGATCTATATAAAGCACACTTATAGTTGAAGGTGTTACCTATTCACATTGACATTTCAGATACAAGCAATAGCCCTACAGTTCTCTGTAACTCATCACACTTGTGGTTTCCTAAAAGATCAATAAATACATCTAGAGTGCTTTGGAACAATCAAGAAGAAGCCAAAGAGGAAACGGATGAAGATTATCATAACCTTATCAAAGATACAGAAAGAGGGAAAGGTCAATTATTGTTTAAATTTGTTGGTTCTGAATTCACATGTTTATGTCCAATAATATTAAAAGATCTTAATCCACACTTTATTCTGAAAAATAATTGTATTATTTTCACTGCTGCTAAACAAAGGAACAAAATCTCTGTTCCATAAGGAAGAAGTAAATCAAACTATTATTTATTTTTTCATATTTCTTGCATTAAAGATGTGTTTTATTTTAGTCTAATATTTTTTTTTTATCAGGACCTGCTGACACACATGAATTCCAAGCTGAGACTAGACAACTGTTGGATATTGTTGCCAAGTCTTTATATTCGGAAAAAGAAGTACGATGTTATTTATTTTACTTTTTTTTTTCAATATCTATGCAATGGAAGGAAACATAGTAGTATGTTTGGCTGCTAGACTAAAGGTCTTGATTAAGACTTGTCACTATATGACGTTGATAAGTCCACCCAACTCTGACAGGTAAGTAAAGGCGGCAGGGCAAAGTACTGACTACACTATCCCTTCATATACTGAGGTCAAGAAACACATGAATCTATTTCATCTGCCCAATTAAAGAGGACTTTACAGCTTTACTTAGTTTTTTAATGGAATGAAACCTAAATTTGATTTTTTTAAACTTATTTTCTTCTAGGCAAGTAAAGCATTTCCATTTGATTTTATTAACCAAACAGGATTTCTCCTTACAAATGTTCAATGAAATTTATCTTCTTTTTTTTTCAATTTTAACTATTGCATAAAGTTAATTGAATTTGGTTTTGTCTAAACAATCAGCTGAATTTTTTAAACCTAACAGGTTTTCATAAGGGAGCTGATCTCTAATTCAAGCGATGCACTAGAAAAACTTCGGTATTATGAATTGACCGGCCATGAAATTGTTGACAAAGATATTCCATTGGAGATTCACATTGCAACCAATGATGACAAAAAAACATTCACCATACAGGTAGATTCTTGGAGTTTCTCAGTTTTTAACTGATTGTTTTAAGTTTATTTTAGTCATTTTATTTCATTGATCCATGTTTTTATCAAGGTTGTAGGCAACATAACAATCAAATAGTATAAAATTCAATACCTGTCACTTACCCAAAATTAGTCCCTAATACTTTTTCACTAAATTATTATTTTTATGTTATTGCTCAGTTTGAAAAATATTATGTTTATTTATGATCTATAATTATTTTGTTTTTTTTTTAAATTAATCTAGGATACAGGTGTTGGTCTTACAAAGGAAGAACTAATAGATAATCTTGGTACAATAGCTAGATCAGGTTCAAAGGTATGTCTAGATTTTGTAAATCTATATTTTAACCCTGTAAAAGTCAAGTTCATTTGTTCTCTGGTGCTAATATTATTTTCAAATGCTTGTCAACCTAAAACCCCATAACTCTTTAAAAGTTTCATAAAATCAAGTTGTTGTTTTTTTTTCAGATACTTCATTCTGAAAAATCTTTTTACTATACTACTTTCAAAAAGAAATTAAGAATTTTAATATTCATAACTTTGAAATTTCTCTTGCTAACAGTAAATAATTAAAACAGTAGATGTATTAGAAAATATATTTATTAAAGTAATATTACTGGAATAAGGGCAGCAACTATAATTGCTTAGTATCATTTTTTTATTTTAACAGAATAAATCAAAGAGACAAGTACTTTTTTCATTTTCTTATCCTTAGATACATTCTAAGTGTCACACATGGACATTTTAAAAGTTAAAAAAAAAAGAAAACAATCTGCATATGAACAAAAATAAATGTTGATAGACATATTTTTAAACAGGAAACAGGAAGGGAATTGATTTTTTTATTTTCCCTTTACCAACATAAATTAAGTAATTTGAATTTTATGCCGATTTTAATCATGGCTCTTGTCCATAACTCCATAGAAAGAACATAAATTATGACCATCACCCGTTATGGGTTGTAGAGAATAATATATTATTTTATTTTTAATTTTCCTTTATATTTCATAGACAGAAGTGTATTACTTTTTTGTTTTAATTTAAATTACACTATTTTTACTTGCATCCAGGCATTTTTGGAGCAGTTGTCTGACAAAACTTCAAAAGGCAATGTTAAAAGCAATCTCATTGGCCAGTTTGGTGTTGGCTTTTATTCCACTTTTATGGTTGGAGACAAAGTTGACGTGTACACAAAGTCTTTTAAACCTGACTCATCTCCATACAAATGGTCATCTGATGGGTAAGGCTGTAAAGCTTTTAGGCAGCCTACAAAAAGTACATTCAAAAACAGATTGTAGTTGCTCATTGTTTGAAATTGTAGCTGTTCACAGTTCATTAAAATTATTTTTTTCTCAGGTCGGGAAAGTATGACATATCTGAAGCTGAGGGTGTTCAGAGAGGAACCAAAATTGTGATACACCTGAAAGGTGACAGCTATAATTTTGCTAAGGAAGAAATTATTAAAGGTAATAGTTTTTCAAAGATACTTTTGTCTTTAATTATGTATTTTTTTTACTTCAGAGTTGAACTGATCTATTAACATTTTATATCACCAGAATTTATTATTTTAATTATAATGCTCTTAAAGTAATAATCCTATTATGAAAGCCGACACTTGTGTTTATATTTTTAAAAATGTCATGAAAGAAAAATTTCAATGAAGAAAAGCTGTTGCTGAATGATTTTCCCTATGATGACTATTCACTGCGCAAATCTGACTGACCATACATTGTTGGACTCCAACCATTGGTTGTTGAGGCCTGCTTTTATGGAAAGTGTGATCATAGGTGAATCTGAGGGTTGAAATAAGTCTGTTAAGTGATATTAAATGGGTTGCAAAATATGGAACCTGATTGAGCCATATAGAATTGTAGTTTTAAAACAGTGCATAGCATGGCACTTGCATTTTAATTTGGAGGGCAGAATCCTTTTTATCACACAGAACTTATTTAATGGAAAATGGGTGCTTCAAAACAATTACACTTCATTTTAACACAAGTGCCTTTGTTTTAAGTACTTAGATGTACCATGATTTTGATCATATTCTAAACAATATCTGTTTTCATTGAAGGTTCAAAAGCTTATTTAAAATTTTTTTTTTTAAATCTTTGCAGAAGTTGTGAAAAAATACAGCAACTTTCTTGGTGTGCCTATTTATCTGAATGGCAAAAGGGCAAATATTATTCAGGTATGCTTATATCTAGCTCTGATATTAAAGTATAAAATTTAATTGTTTTTTAATGTCTATTGTAACCAACAAAATACAATTTTAAAAGAAAGATCTGTTAAATACACAGAACTTAAAAAAAATTAGTTCCAATATATATATAAACTAATATAAATTTATTTGTTCCGTGTAATTTTGAAAATGTTTGGAGAAGAGCCCTACACAGACTGGGGTTTTTTTTTGTATGCATGATAATTACTAAAGTACTATCATTAAACAAAACATAATTTTTATAGGCTCTGTGGACCATGGAACCTAGAGATGTAACCCCAGACATGCATGAGGAATTCTACAGGTTTATTGGGAATGTCTATGACAAACCCCGCTATAATCTACACTACAAAACTGATGCACCATTGAATATTAGAGCACTTTTCTATATTCCTGAATATAAACCAAGTAAGTAAAGACTGAAAACCATTGAATATTAAGCCCTTTTATTTAAACCTGAGTATAAACCATGAAAATAGCTGCCTAAATATTGTTTGTTTGGCTCTGTACCAATATTTTAAAAGACTTACTGAAATCAGTTTGATAAGATTAACTGTCAAGCCTACTGTGAAAAGTCATTTCTTTTTCATTTTTCAATGTTTTGTTTCTTGAATTAGCTAACAACTTTTTTACTGTTTTCCTTCACAGCTATGTTTGACATGAGCAGAGAAACTGATGTTGGTGTTGCACTCTACAGTAGAAAAGTGCTCATTATGGCTAAAGCTAACCATGTGTTGCCGAAATGGTTGAGATTTGTCAAAGGTTTTATTTTTTGTTCATACTAATAGTAATAGTGGTTAACTTACTTTAACATATTCCTTTGAAGCCCCTGAAGAGCAAAGGGCTGCAGCTACACCTCATCACTGAACTCCATTTTAGACCTCTCTTTGGTAGAGCCCACATAAACCCAGCAGCCATTGCTTTTCCATCCACTGTCTTTCTTCAGGATTGCTTTTCTTTTCCCCTGGTGGTTCCAGCCACACCTACGATTGTCGTAAGATATTAACCTATCCATCCCCAATTACCAGTTTTAATATCATTGTCCATTGGCTGTTGCTTTGTGGTTTGCCATGGGTCTTCATTGGTAATGTTGTCTGGTAGACATCTATTTGTGAACAGCTGTAGTCTGTTGGTATTTGACTTGGTAACCCTCCAGGTCTCTAAGCCATAAAGCAATACAACCAGACATTTATATTGAAGTGAGGCTGTATTAAATAGAATTTATTTAAACTTAAGGTAAAAATGGTTGGGTTGATTTTAAATACTCTAACATAACATTTTGCAGGTGTTGTGGACAGTGAAGATATACCTTTAAACTTGAGCAGAGAATTGCTACAAGACAGTACTTTGATCAGGTAATATGGTTGATTTTATCTTTTGTACTTTCTTGAATAGGTTTGTTTTTCTGCCAACATCCTAACATTGATTATCAGGTTTTAATATTAAATATATTTTTTAAATATTTTTTTCTTTATTGAGATAATCAATCAGTATGTAAAACATTTTTAAAAACGGTTGTTTTTTTAAAAAAACGAGAGTGCTTGTGTACTGTCCAGTGATGAATGACCATGCCATTTAGGCTCCTGTCACCGTGTGGGTGACGTGGAGATCTGAGCTGTTACTGTAATGTGGACATTGCATGGGGCCATCTGAGGACTGAAACAGGAATAAACCATAATCTCAAATTTGTGTATTTTTTATAATTTATCATGTATAATATATCATTTTAATGCATGCTCATTGAGTGGGAAATAATTTAATTTTATTGTTTTCGTGATTATTATAAAGAAATTTAAGTAATTATTAAATATTGAAATTATCCTTAAAATTTATCAAAGAATTATTTATCTGTATTTTACCCATCAAGTAATGTCTTTTTCCACCTAGAAAATTGCGAGATGTTTTGACCACAAGGCTTCTCAAGTTTTTCATTGACCAAGCTAAGAAAGACCCACTGACATATATGAAGTTTTATGAAGATTATGGCCTGTTCTTCAGAGAAGGCATTGTTACAACTGGGGACCAAGCTCAGAGAGTAAGGAGTTGTTTGTTAGCCTTTGTTAATTAATTAACCCTTTGAGCCCTGGCTTCCCTGACCTAATTTCTCCCATTTCCTGAGCTCCCAGGGCCAAACCAATTTTCACTTATCTGCTTCTAACTTTGCCTATAACTTTTGAACGGTTTGAGATAATCAAGCCACATTTGGTATCCAGACTCAGGATCAAACAACAATGCAGCAAGATTCTGAAATTCTTTATTTTTTTACAATGTATGAACAGAACAATGTATATAAAACGAACACATAATTATTATCAAAACACCAAGGAGACTGAAGTTTTACAGCACCATGTTCATCGGAACGTACTTGAACAGTTTCATTGTCACTGTCAATTTCAATGTCACTGTGTTCAGTCTCAAATTCAACGCCACTATCATCACAATATAGACCAGGAATATTATCTTCTTCATCAGAATCAATAAGTAGTTGTATTGCCTGAGATGCAGTCATTCTACTTCTTTTGTTGATATTTTGGTCTTTTGCTTCATCTTTTGCACCAACTTTATATGCTGAAGTCGATGGCTGTGGCTCAGCTTTTCGTTTTGGCGGCATTGCTACAAAATGTAAACACTTTCACTTTTCCTAAAATTTATTTTTAGAATCATAATCCCGCACTAAAAAGACATGCGCAGTTTTAGTCAGTCTTCCGCTAATTATATTTAATTAGACGGTATAGCGGCCTCTATATCATCGGGCTGGAAAACCGGCTTTTCTGACATATATGCCTAATGTTGAAGCCGGTTTACCGGCCTGCCTGGCTCAAAGGGTTAACCTCTGGTGTCAGTAGTAAATCTACTTTAACCAGCTTAGATGAAAATAGTCAAAATATCAGTGACTGTGGTTTTTTCTGAGTAGATTTATTATGGTGTTTTGCATAAGTTAGGATAAAAATATGTTACATTTATCTTTTTACAGGAAGACATTGCTAAGCTTTTGAGGTTTGAATCTTCAAAACTTGAGAAGGGGCAGTTAACTAGCTTAGATGAATATGCTCAAAGGATGAAAGCAGGGGAGAGAAACATTTATTTCTTAGCAGCTCCTAGGTAAAGGATAATTTGATACCTTCTCTATGCATGTTCTCTTAGTTATTACATTTTTAAATTTGTTTTTAATTGATTAATTTTTTATAATGAAAATTGCTGTAGCTGGTTTCAAAGTAAACATGAAAGATGGTTGTCTGAATTAAGTTGACTTTTAGCTTGTTCCCTATGATGACCATTCACTGCGCAAATCTGACTGTCCACATAAAACATGTCTCCAGTCTTTGGCTGTTGAGACAGTTTTTTGTGGTCAGTGTGATCACAGGTGATTCTGAGGGTAAAGATTAGCTGATAGGTGTACTGCCAAAATTGCATGTGTTCAGATAATTATTAAAATTTGCTTCCTTATGATGACCATTCACTGCGCAAATCTGACTGTCCACATAAAACATGTCTCCAGTTTTTGGCTGTTGAGACAGTTTTTTGTGGTCAGTGTAATCACAGGTGATTCTGAGGGTAAACAGGTGTACTGCCAAAATTTTGTGCTCAGATGATTATTAAAATTTGCTTCCTTATGATGACCATTCACTGCGCAAATCTGACTGTCCACATAAAACATGTCTCCAGTCTTTGGCTGTTGAGACAGTTTTTTGTGGTCAGTGTGATCACAGGTGATTCTGAGGGTAAACAGGTGTACTGTTAAAATTGTGTGTGGTCAGAGAATTATTATTAAAATTTGCTTCCTTATGATGACCATTCACTGCGCAAATCTGACTGTCCACATAAAACATGTCTCCAGTCTTTGGCTGTTGAGACAGTTTTTTGTGGTCAGTGTGATCACAGGTGATTCTGAGGGTAAACAGGTGTACTGTTAAAATTTTGTGTGCTCAGATAATTATTAAAATTTGCTTCCTTATGATGACCATTCACTGCGCAAATCTGACTGTCCACATAAAACATGTCTCCAGTCTTTGGCTGTTGAGACAGTTTTTTGTGGTCAGTGTGATCACAGGTGATTCTGAGGGTAAACAGGTGTACTGTTAAAATTCTGTGTGCTCAGATAATTATTAAAATTTGCTTCCTTATGATGACCATTCACTGCGCAAATCTGACTGTCCACATAAAACATGTCTCCAGTCTTTGGCTGTTGAGACAGTTTTTTTGTGGTCAGTGTGATCACAGGTGATTCTGAGGGTAAACAGGTGTACTACCAAAATTTTGTGTGGTCAGAGAATTATTATTTAAATTTACTTCCTTATGATGACCATTCACTGCGCAAATCTGACTGTCCACCTGAAATATGTCTCCAGTCTTTGGCTGTTGAGACAGTTTTTTGTGGTCAGTGTGATCACAGGTGATTCTGAGGGTAAACAGGTGTACTGCCAAAATTGTGTGCTCAGATATTTATTAAAATTTGCTTCCTTATGTTGACCAATCACTGTGCAAATCTGACTGTCCACCTGAAATATGTCTCCACTCTTTGGCTGTTGAGACAGTTTTTTGTGGTCAGTGTGATCACAGGTGATTCTGAGGGTAAACAGGTGTACTGCCAAAATTGTGTGTGCTCAGAAAATAATTATTAAAATTTATTTTCTGCAATTTATGTTGTGCATAAAATAAAACACCATATGGTGAAACTAATTGCCCTGAAGGCAATGTCTGGGCAATTAGTCAATATTATTATTTAAAATACTTAAAGAAGTGTTTAATAAGTTTAAGATAGTACTGAATTTTAACCTTTTTCTTTAGCCGCCAGTTAGCTGAAACATCACCATACTTTGAGGCTCTGAAGAAAAAAGACACTGAGGTTCTGTTTTTATATGAAGGCTATGATGAGCTAGTGTTGATGAACCTTGGTCAGTTTGATCGCAAGAATCTTAAATCTATTGAGAATGAATTATATGAAGACAAAGAAAATACAGATACCATAAATGAAAATGGTTAGTAATAACTTTTTTTTTGTATTATAGGAAATTATTTTGTTTGTGAAATGCTGTAAAAGTACCTAGCAATCGGTCTTTTGCGAACTGTCCATGAAATAATTCAGAGATTAACCTCTTCATATTGTCTCTAGTTAATTTTTAGCATTGGAAAAACACATTTTTTGGTAGTTGGTTACCGATGTGTTGATTACACTTGAGTAATCAACTTGAGGTGGCTTTTGTATGTAATGATTTACAAAGTCAGTATGAACTATGTTGATTAAATCTCCTTTTGCTTACTACTGTTTTCTAAACTTCCAATGATCATCAGCAATAATCTTTTTCCAGATGAGAAAAGTCTTAAGCAGCAAGAGGCTGAGGATCTGAAAGTTTGGCTCAAATCTATTCTGTTAAATAAAGTCAATAATATTAAGGTAAGCAAGCAATGTTAATATGAAAACTATTACAGACAGGCAAAACCATTTTACCATAACTATTATATTCCTTGATGCGACTGCATGGTTAGATAGTACAGCATTTGGCTGCTATTCAAAGGTCTCGAATTAGGATCTCGTTTTCAGACTGTAGGATGTCCCTGAATCCACCCAGCTCTGGTGTGTACCTGACTCATGTTGGGGAAAGTAAAGGCGGCTGAGCATAGTGCTGACCATACTATCCATTCATATGCTGAGGTCAAGAAACATGAGAACTCTATCTGCCCAATGGATCACTAGGTCTAAAGAGGAATCATTACTTTATTATATTCTTTTATGAAAGTTTAATTTTATTTGAGAAAAATTTTGTGTTGATCAATCGTTAGTATAATTAAACTGTAGGGTTAGATGACATTAGAAACTAAATAACTTGCCAAAACATTGGTAACTTCACTAAACTGTACCTAAAGTATCGCCAGTTTTGTGAGGATCTTGACAAGAAAATAATTAGCTATGTTAAGCTAAAACTGCAAGCATCTGGTTATGTTTGTTGTGGTCTGTGATAAATTAAATTATTCTACAAACAGTAGCAGTTAAAACTTTGAGCTCCTTTGATTTATAACTGTGTTGCCTATATAAATTTCTATGAAACCAGGTTACCAAAAGACTAGAGAGCCATCCCTGTGTTATCACAGTTCTAGAGATGGGCTCTGCCAGACATTTCCTGCGCACTACTCTAGCAGATAAGAGCCAGGATGAGAGGTTGCGCCTGTTGCAGCCTACTCTTGAAATCAACCCAAGGTCAGGGTTAATGCATTTTTTTATACATTTCTTTTAAAAATTAGTGAGCCTCTAATTTTAATTTGTATGGAAATATTTTTTTAAAACAACTTTTTTCTCTATAGAATAAATCTTATTTTAGCTGTAACATGACTATAGAAATATTATTTGTGTTGTTTTTTAATTATAAAAAGCTCAAAAGTATTTTTAAAAACTTAAGTATCAAACAGTTTGCCATATTTTGATGTATAGTGGTACAATATCTAGGTACAATATTGCAAATTATCTTAATGGCTTCACATGTTCAGTGTTTATTTTTAAATGATTTTTAATTAAAAATCTGATCCTCTTTTTTATTTCCAACAGTCACCCGTTGATTGTTAAAATGCACAAACTGATGGCTTCTGATCCAGAGCTTGGCACACTTTTAGCTGAACAGGTATGTTAAATTTTGTTTTTAGTGAGTAGCTGTAACAGCTGAAAACAATCTCAAATACTGTTGCAACCTTTCAAAAACTGTTGCAAAAAATGTAAGAGTGCTTGTAATTCAGCAACACCTGGCTTTTCTAATTTGCTGTCCAGGATTTGGGTTTGAGTTTTCAAGGCTCAATCATATTCTTAAATCCTGTATCAAAATAAAGATGAATTTGCTTTTTGTTTTGTTTAATTTGAGAAAGCCCCACGTTTTTGTGTTTCAAGTTCTCTATCATAAATCTATTCAAATAAAAAATAATCATTTTTTAATGAATCAATATTAATTAAAATCCCAGAATTAATTGAATTCCACATTTTCCGCTTTTAGTTAAAATGGCAAAGGCGCAACATGACGTCATTTCTGGTATTTAGTTACATTTACAACTCTTCGCCTGCCATTTTTGGTGTGTCCATTCTGTCTATAAATAGGACTACTGAGAGCTAACTTTTTAGCAGTCAAGTTATTGCTGTAAAAATGATGGATTACTCCTTAATTTAGGTTGATCACTACATAAACTTTCAGATTTTCCTAGCCATTTTAATAGCTAGATGTGACTTGTGCACAGTGACTGAATAGTAAACTAAATATTGAGGTTTTAATTGTGTTCAGCTTCAATTGGGTGTAAATATTTAATAAAGTATTGACAGTTATTTAACCTGTACACTTATTTAATATACATCTTCAGTGGATAACTTATATTGTAACAACTGGATATCTACATTACATCACTGTTTTGTTACTGTAAAAGGTTAATGTTACTAATGTCTCTGTTTCCAATTTTTGCAAGATACAGCTACACAGCCATTTACTGATAAACTGTGTAGCACATTTGGTGTTTTATCAGTCTCTTCTGGGGCAGTTTATCTTATAAGTGTTTTACTTGGGATCTAATAAAAGTGTTAGTTCATGTCTGAAATACAGATAAGACACCTTCAAAGTCTTAACTATTTCTTGATTGGTATGTCAAGAAAATGGTTTGGGTGGTTCTCACACTGGGCAAAGAAAGATTTCTCTACTTCCCAAGTGCAGGGTTGACTTATTAAAATATTAATTTGTTACCAGAAAAAAAATTAGTAGTGAAAATGACTCATGTTTCTAAGGGTATAAAAATAATAGTTGTATTTCAATGGCGCTTGTGCTCCCACCTTTAAAATGTTAATAGTTGTTACTTGCTCACAGTATTAAAAAAAAATAATTTATGATTTTTTTATTTTTTTTTCTCCAAATTTTTTATTGAAATGTTTTTCAACATTTAAAAATAAGAAATTAATGTGACAATAGTTATCAAATTACATTTTAAAATATAAAGTGAGATGACAATGATACAATGTAAGAAATATTTTAAATAACCCTTAATGTGAGCATACAGACAGAGGCGTAGCTAGGGGGGGGGCGGCCGCCCCGGGCGCCGACCCTATGGGGGCGCCAAAAGGGGTGGGAAAAAATTTTTAAAGCTGATTTTATGCTGCAGTTTTGAATTATAAACTGTCTAAGTTAAGAAATGTAATGGCTACACGCCTTTACATACTGATTTAACTGTTTTCTACCTTGATTTCTTAATGTAAAACATATACTCTTAAGAAACAGTGACCGGCAAAACCGCTTTAAAGCTTTTGCTAGATGGGGGGGGGGGCGCTTTTTCGAGACTTAAAACGGAAGAATTTACACTAGATTGTTGAGTCGATAAACATTACCACTATTAAAGAAACCAATTGTATTAAAACGTATTGTACGATTGTTGAACTGTAAAATACGTTAGTGACTTTTATCAAGATGGTGCAGGGGGGCGCTTTTAGGCTAAATAAAATAGCAAAATTACACTGGATTCTGAGTAAACAACCTTTAGCTCTCAGAAAGAAACGAATTGTACTGTGCATTGTATAATTGTGTAACATTTTTAAAAAAAAAGTTAGTTACGTTAAAAACCGCTCTACAAACTTTGTCCAAGATGGTTGTGATGAGTGTGTGTGGGGGTGGGGGGCGCTTTTTTCGCTAACAAAAATCGCAAGTATTTGTACTGGATTGGTGGGTAGATAACTCTTTTAACACTTAGTAAAGAAACCAAGTGTATTAACGCGTAATGTACAATTTCACTAGCCAGTTTTGTTAAAAAAAAGACGCGACTAGTTCTTTGTAAGATTCTTACGATTCTCTCAACTTCAACGTGAGAGATCAGATACTTTTGATTGATTGCATTACATCTTACCCGGATCACTGAACTATATTAAAGAGAACTAAATATCACGGATTCTTGAATCCCTAAGCCACTAACCACCACTTTTTTCCATGCTCTTATTTCATTCTCCACTGTCTGTAATCTAGCTCCAAGCCATACAGTAAAAGAGACCACATTTAGTTATAGATCCTGATTGAATTTTTTTGACAATGCATTTGAATTCCACATTTTCTTAGAGTGTTAAAACGCGTTTTATTGCTGCTGATTATAATCAGAACGTCATGGGCTATCATTAAATTGATTGTTACTGCTTCTTCAACCAATACAATTAGTTCTGCATTTGTTGTTGACGTTGTGCGAGCAGTGTTTCTTCCAGACTTTTTTCTCCGGGGGGGGGGGGCACTTGAAATTTTCGGGGGTGGGGGGGCGGTAGACTTTCTTCGGGGGGGGGGGGGGGCGGACACTGTTAAAAGTATATATTTTCTATATATAAATTATATAAATTTCATTTCGTTCGGGGGGGGGGGGGGGGGGGGGGGGGGCGGTAAAAAAAATCGGGGGGGCTTCGCCCTCCCCCCCCCCCCCCCCCCCCCCCCGAAGAGATGTCTGGAAGAAACTCTGTGTGCGAGAAGGCAGGGCAAATCTGCGAAATCCAAGACCACGAGCTGTTAACATCCGTTGGATTCCAGTTTGTTTTCTCTAGCTTGTTTTGTCATACCATAAACCAATCAACGAAATACCCATGTCGTATTCCAATGTGAACAATAAATATTTCTGATAACTTCTTCTTGTATGTCACTTGTGTGTCCTTACTCTAACTATCTTCGAATCCAACTATGTACCATATCACAACAGAGATCGTTCCAAAACTAGAACATAAAAGGCTGGTCTAAACATATTAGCGTTAGCTACAAACTACCCTCTAACACAGATCAGGCTTATTTTTTTTTTACTGACATTACTAATCTTTTGCAAAAAAAGTTAAACGCATCTAAATGGAATTAAATTGTCGTAAAGTTTTAAGGAATGAAAATCATACAATGTAATTATTAAACCTTGTCCGGACTGTAGCACACACGCTTACACACACGCTTACACACACAAATACTCTTACCCACACACAAGCTTATATATAAACACACTATTACACACACATAATTATACACACACACACACACACATATATATATATATATATATATATATATATATATATATATATATATATATATATATATATATATATATATATATATATATAAGCGGGGGGGGGGGGCGCCAAATTGAAAGTTCGCCCCGGGCGCCGGGAAGGGTCGCTACGCCTCTGCATACAGAAAAAAATATTGCACAAGATGTCTCTTAAAATAACCATTCTATTTCATAGTCAACAACATTGCAACACTCTCCCTCCTTTAAAACATCCCTTCTCAACCCCATTACATCTGCAATTACAACAAACTATAAAATATGAGCTAATTATAGTATTGTTTGAGGACACCTTGTAAAAACAAGAACATACAAGCAGATAAGAACTGATCCAAGCCTAACACATTTTGAACTGCTGCATATTTTACAATACAAGCAAACAAGAACTGATCTAAGCCTAAACACACAAATTCAACTGCTGCTAACATAAGGATTTTTGTTGAGATCTCTTGGACTCATCTCTTCTCCAATGATTTAAATTTACTCTCTAAACGTTTGGAATACTGGTCCAGATTATAAGCAGCTTGTTCCAAGAGCTGTCACACTGAGCTCAATCTGGTCAATCTGTTCTAGATAGGGCTGCAAACTTTGATATTTCTCATTGAGGTCATGAAGAGCTCCACTGATGCTGAGGGCTATTTGCTTCATCTCTGAGTACTTGCTCATTGTAACTTGGTTCATTTTTTTCCCGAAAGTCTGTAATCTTCAACGCTGCCATCCAACTCTCCTTGCAAATATTCTGCTGTTTTTATAAAAGTTTCTCCACATAAATCCACTACATTAGATGGTGGCGCCACTTGTGCATTATCTGGAACCCATCGTTTTATCCTTGTGTTTATCTTCGTTATTAAAATGGATCTCTTGATTTTGTGTTGGTGAAAATACAGATCGATTTTCTCTCATATCTGCCATTTTGTTTACCATCCTAATTATGATTTTTTTAGAAATATAATTCTTTTTGTGCCCTTTTTAGTAGTAAAGACAAAGTTGTGCTTGCCACTTTCTAATTCTCCAGTTTGCCTTTTGGAGTTACATAGCATATTTCGGTTACTTAATTCAATGTATTGTTAATTTAAATTATATTTCCCTAGAATTGTAACAAAAAATGTTATTATGTGTTATCAAAAAAATTGTTTAGATTTTTGCTCCCTTTATTTAATTTAAAACTTATAAGAAGTAAAAGTCAAGGTACTCTTTAAATATATTGCCTTTCGGTATAATATTATCTCCCTTGTTTATTTATGCAGTTAGTTCCCCTACTCCATGTAATGTGTTCTGGTCTGAATTTTTCATAAATATCTTTTTGACTTTATTGCATTCAGTTTAAAACTGAATACTAATATGAGAATAATATCTCTGCTTAAAGTAATCACTTAAAGTATTTATACATTTCAATTGATCAAGAAAGTTGCCAAAGTAATCTTGCTACACTTTGTTCTTGTTCTCTTATTTGTTTGCTCATACATACTTAAACACATTTGCCTAAAGCTTTTTGTTTCTTTCAACTAATATTAGATACTATTAAAATCCTTTATTTGACCACTTTTTATCTCTTTTAAGTTTTTCACACACCTATTATGAT